GCCCCCATGTTAATGGATTAAAGCGTTCACACTGCACACGGTTGCGGTCTGCGCTGAATTAAAGTGACAGCGCATTGTTTTCGGTAAATATGAACATGGATTGACACGGAAATGTAGTAATTGCACCATAAATGGATATAATTAAAGTCTACTGTGTTTCACAGTCAACACATAGGTTATGGCGCATTTACACGTCTATGAAAGATTGTATTACTGTACTGTGTAAAAAACCAATCACAATGCTGAAAAAGCATTTTCAGTGACAATGTTTGGATTTGAAATCAAAACAATGGATAAATGTGTTTGTGGTAAGCAGCCACGGATCGGGTCAGGAGCGGCCCGTCTGTCTCACGCACCTTTCAGGAAGGGTTTGCCGTTGATGAAGTCTCCGCGGTGGGAGAATCCGGGCCGAGGGCAGAGCTGGGTGTATTCTGGCGTTCCTTTCTCCGGACACTCGTCGCACTCCGGGCCCCAGGCCACACCCACGGAGCAGCAGCAGGCGTCCACACGGTGCCGGCCCGTGATCGGAGCGCCGCAGCGCTCATCAACGTGTGTGAGGTAACACAGCTCCGTCCGCAGGTCTGCAAACACACACATTCACAACACTTTCAGGAAACTTTGGGAATTTGCATGCAAAACAGACCTTCCCAATTTGCATGCAAAACAGCGTTGTGTAATGTTCTTTAGGTCACTGAATGCTAATGTCTCATCTTAACCCAAGCGCCTCTGTGTACAGTAGAAACTAAATAGTTTAGTTGCTTTAGCATACATCTAAGTCAGGGTTGCCAGGTTTACACAACAAAACCCACCCAATTGCTACTCAAAACTAGCCCAAAAATAGCCCAATGGCGTTCCGGGGGGGGTAAAATACATGTTTTTTGTCTCACCATAACTCAAGCGTGTCTCTGTGTACAGTAGAAACAAAATAGTTTAGAAGTTGCTTTAGCATGCATTTAAGTTGATTTGTTTTAGAAAGTATGCATTAAATTGATCAAAAGTGACTAAGACTTTCACAAGTGCTTTTAATATTGATAATTATATTATATGAATTATATACTTGAGCATCAAATTAGCATGTTAGAATGATTTTTAAAGGATCGTGTGACGCTGAAGAGTAATGGCTGCTTTCAGCAAAATTTAGATTATAAATGATATTCACAATACTATTGTTTTTACTGTGTTTTATATCAAAGAAATGCAGACTCTAAACTTTTGAATGGTGTTGTGTTTTAAATTTTGTGCCTTGTTTGAGAATTGTTTTTCTTGCTTTGCTAAATGTAGATCAGCACATCTCACAAAATACTGAAGAAGTGGTTTTGCAGTGTGTTGAGGGTCTTTTTAACTTCATAAGTGCTCGACATTTCATGAAATGTTTTCACCACTTCTAGTTTAGGATTTGCTAGACTGGACTTTCAATGTCTGAGAAAAAGGAAGTGCTGGAATTCCTCTGGGATGAAGTCTTTCATAAATGCTTCATAAACCTCTGATTTAATAGTATGTTAATTAATTACTGTTATTTGCAAATAAGACGTGTGTGCAGGCTCATTCACAATTAGCATAATCCTGCCCATGAATTGGAATCCAGTCATTTGCATAAATGCAAAAGAGACTAATTGGCGATATGCATGATGAAAATGATTCAATTAAAGTGTCATTTAGAATAAACAGGAAAATGAATCCATTGCTGTTCTCAATTGATTTTTTTAGCAATCAAATTTAACTCGCTTGCTAACAGATTAATGTTAATATATATTATTATGGTAAATAGTGCCGACTAAAAGAACAAAAATGTTCAGATGAGTGTTATTTTAGCATCATTGAGATATTATTAGTTTTTTGTTAATATTTTGAATTAGATGTTATTTTAATGTTTTACATTTCTAATTAAATTTTTTGTTAAAATTGTATTAAATTAGTTTTTATATATTTTTAAATTTTATATTGATCAGTATTAATTATTTTAGTACTTAAACTAAATGAAAATGAGAAATGTTGCCTTGTTGCAAATAGTTAAGAAATAAGATAAAATAAGAAATTTTATATTATTTGTTTATTTCATTTCAATATGTTTACTTATTATGTTTGTTTATAACAAAAATGTGTTTACCATTTCCCCATTTATGCGTTTATCTGTGCAAACACAAATGTGACCCTGGAGCACACAACCAGTCATAAGGGTCAATTTTTTGAAATTGAGATTTATACATAATCTGAAAGCTTTCCATTGATGTATGGTTTGTTAGGATAGGACAATATTTGACTGAGATACAACTATTTGAAAATCTGGAATCTGAGGGTGCAAAAAAATCTAAATATTGAGAAAATCATCTTTAAAGTTGTTGCTACAAATATACCCCAGCGACTTAACACTGCTTTTGTGCTGCAGGGTCACATTCATGAACCTGAAAATTCATGTCAGAGTAGTTTTATGGGTGATACACTCATCAGAAATGCATTCTGCTGGAGTTTCATACGCACCAACGCAGGTCCTTCCAGTGGAGTCCACCGTCATCCCACTGGGACACTGGCAGATGAACGACCCGTCTGTGTTCACACACTTCCCATTGATGCAGACGCCGGGAAACACGTCACACTCGTTCACATCTGCGCACACACACAGACACACACACACACACAGACACACACACAGACACACACACACACACACACAGAGACACACACACACACACAGAGACATGAAGCAGGTGAATATGAGACTCTCAATGCATGCAGAGAGTGAAGCGTGATGCGAGATCTCACCCTCACAGATGGTCCCCTTCACTCGCGCGTAACCTTTAGAGCAGAACGGATCTGAAACACACAACACACACTTTACTCCGGACACACACCGGACACAGATCACCAGCTTACACTAATACAGATTCTTTAATGTTTCTGAAAGACTCTCTTCTGCTCACCAAGGCTGCTTTTATTTGATTAAAAATACAGTAAAAAAAGTGAAATATTATTACAATTTAAAACAGCTGTTTTCTATGTGAATATCTGTTAAACTGTAATTTATTTCTGTGATATGCAGCTGTATTTTCAGCATCATTACTCCAGTCTTCAGTGTCACATGATCTTCAGAAATCATTCTAATATGCTGATTTGCTGCTCAGGAAACTTTCTGATTATTATCAATGATGAAAACAGTTGTGCTGCCCAATATTTTTGTGGAAACCATGATATACTACTACTTTAATAAAGCAATAAGCTCCAAGAAGCCGTGGTTTACAGTGAATATGATAATGAACCCCCTTAGCTGTTATAGATTCACTGTAAACCACGGCTTCACGGGGCTTGCTTTTATAAAACGGTTATTCACATATACCTAGTAAGGTTTCACAAAATAAAACAGAGCAAATAAAGTGTAATGATATTAATAAAAACAGTATTCTTCCACCAAACAATGTAGCTCCTCAGAAACAGTTGTGGTTGCAACAAAGTGGTTGCCGAGCAACAGACAAACGTAAACAAAGGTTTGAACTTGGCTCAGCCAATCAGAATCAAGGACCGGAACTATCCATTTTATAA